GATGTAGTAGTGAACTTTGGAGAATCCGTGCATTTACCCTTTTTCATAGCTCTTCTTGAATCTCTGTTATATTTGAGTTATTCGAAAGTTTCTTAGAATATATGCTCTGCGATAAAACTAGTAGTAACAACCTAGTAACATCCTAGTGACAACCCCATCCTTTGAAGGTTCGAGAAAAAAGAATACATGTTCCCAAACGGAGTGGGGGGGGGGGGGTGAGCAAAAAGAGCAACAAGTGCTGATTGTCAATTGTGGCTGTAGTATAGTCCATGAATTGCAGGCATATCGTCGTCTGTGGGCATATCACCTACGATTCCGTTAGTCATTTTCTGCAGGATTTTCTTCACGAGGACAGGGATGACGTCGACGTGGAGGTGGTGTTTCTGCACAGGTAACTCATCCGTGGTTTCATGCCTATTTCTATTTTTTTTCTAGTTTTACTTTCGTGACTGATTCCCAATGCCTCCCTTCTCCTTCCAAATGCTACTACGAGTTCTCAGTAAAAGTACATGTCGTGGCGCATCCCAGGAACTAACTGATTAACAGCAATATATCTTTCCTCATTTTCACACATATATCCGCCGTTTATTCATAGATCAGCCCTGTTCTGTTCCTTTGAGGTTAACACGAATGATCTTTTGCCTTTCCCTTTGTGGCTGCAGTCGTATGGCGTGCAGCACGGTTCTTATATATTCACTTGTGGGAAGTTGTGAGCACTTGAACGCCGCGGCCAAAGATAATTAATTCCTTGCCCCCCCCCTTTCTATTGTGACATCACTTCACTTCCGCTAATGACTTCTCGTTCTTTCACCTTTCTTCCGCCAAACTTTTGCGTGGACTTGAGGACAAGAGTGGCCTCCACTTAGGGACTCAACTTTGGCCAACATCGAAGGTTGTGTAAGAAGAAACGAAGCGTTCTAAAGCTAAAAAAGAACAAAAACTTAGAATGCGCTCGCAAAGCATTAGAAGGATTTTTTCCCTTCCTTTTGTAGTCCTTGAAACTGAGAGAAAAGCGCCCTGCGCGAATAGATAGTTTAGCACCCACCTGGTCAACAGCGGCGCACGCGCGGCCTAATTCAGCGACAGGTGGCGGGTCAAGCTCCCCCTGGGATTGATTTTTGGCCCATGAACTCAGCGCTTGCACCGTGATACATTTTGTAGGGTTTTCCATGAGGAGAGCTTGTTCTGCCATAATTCACAGCGCTTCTCTTGCTTTCTATAGTAAGGGTTGACCTTAGACTATCCGGTTTCGTTTTCTACTAGAGTGCGCCACGCAGTCTGCTTCCTTCCGATATCGCAATAGGATTGGAATGGTTATGCAATAGTCGCCATGGTCTACACGATAGTTTTGAGTGGCTAGGAGATGTGCTTCTCAACGTTCTAACCTTCCCGTTAATTGCCTTTAGCTTCAGTCGACCTCTGGAAGGGTTTGATTGATTTGTGCTGGGTTTGAACCTGATCCCCGCACTACGCTGGTGGTAAGAAGCGTCACTTTCCTCTGCGCTATATCCATATCTATACATTAATACAATGTAGCCTTGGTAGATTTTTCAGTTAAGATGCCATACCTTTCTCATGAGTAACCCTCATTTTTCAGGGTCGTGCCAGATTTGGAGCTAGAAGGGTTATTCAAACGACACTTCACGAAAGTGGAATTCTTCACCGGCACCGTTATGGATTCATTAGATTTGTCCCGGGTTAAGGTGAGCGACTGAACTGCTGGTAATGAATAATAATTAGTAATTTTGAAAAATAAACTCCAGTAATTTCTCAGTTGTAAATAATTCCAAAAACAAGATGGAAATCTTCTAGGTATCAGATGCCGACGCTTGTTTGGTGTTAGCGAACAAGTATAGTACGAATCCAGATGCTGAAGATGCAGCTAATATCATGCGGGTGATCTCCATCAAAAACTACTCAAGTGATATACGAGTAATTGTTCAGTTGATGCAGTATCACAACAAGGTGAGTAGTTGGCTCGGAGGTTATCGAGGTTCCAGTTGAATTGCAAATTTTTCCAAATAAAGACAGGGGGCACGATTGCTGGAGGCGGGCGGTTGATGTCAGCGTCATTGGTGGAAGGGCTGCGAGATGGTATTCGGCCGCAACCCACTCAGCCCTTCCACCAAT